AGCAATCTGCTAACCTGAACTAAACTAGGTTAAACAGTATTCTGGATTTCTGACAGAGTTTATAGCATTCCCAAAAAAAGGATAAACGGGCGTAACAAAAGTAACAATGCACTAATACAACTCCCTTCAAAGTTCAGACGCTGGACAAAATCCCCAAAGGCTGTGTTTAGTTCACACCAAAATTATAAGTTTGGTTGTAATTGGAACGATGTGATGAAAAAGTTGGAAGTTTGTGTGTAGGAAAGTTTTGCGCCGTGTTTAGTTCCAAAGTTTTTCTTCAAACTTCCAACTTTTCCATCACATCAAAATTTTCCTGCACACACAAACTTCTAACTTTTCCGTCACATCGTTCCAATTTCAACCAAACTTCTAATTTTGGTGTAAACTAAACACAGCCTTGATGTGATGGAAGAGTTGAAAGTTTAAAGAATTATCTTGGGACTAAATACGGCGAAAGACGCCATCCATGTTTTGATCTGAATCACACAGATGGTTTTATACAGCCAATCTAAATAGTTCTAATAATTCTGATTATTAACACATATGGTTTCCTCCTCACTATCCTCCTGGCATTCTTCCCCCTCCCTCCCCGCGCACGCCCGCCACGCATGCCGCCTCCCAAGGTCATCACGTGCACCGACAACCCACCACCTCCATCCCATCCGTTGGTTCTATGTGGCCATTGAGGAGTAAGCAGCCCCGGCGCTCCTCCTCTTCCTGGCCGGCCTCCTCCGATCCTGCCTCGCTCCGCTCAAGCCTCCTCCGCTTCGGCCACTCCTCCACCCAGCCTTGCTCCCGCTGCCTAACATCGCGCCACACCCACCAAAGCCGAGCTCGAGGAGCCACGAGCCGCCCCACCTCCTAGCCACCGCTCAACTGGGGTGCTGGCAAGAAGGGGCGGATTCAACATGGGTGCAAGAGGGATTCAAGTCCGCCCTACACCTGTCGGACCCATGGATACCCCTCTAAGTTTCCCTTCAAATTTTTTTGCCGTGGTTGAATAGCTGGAAGTTGAAGAAACCACGTATTGGTATGTTGAGATGATGTGTTTATGCCGGTATACTCGATATGTTGAGTCCCAACTTTTTCTTCCTGGATCCGCCCCTGCTGGCAATGGGGAGTGGACGCGGTGGTTGGGCTCGACGGCCTGGTGGAATCGCCTCCTGTGACGCCCAAGGAGCGACATGGGTGTGATGCGACGACGCCGACGACCATGGATAATATATATACATCCCATGCAGATTGTTTTATCGATGAAGTGTTTCATTACACACCAAACATTTTAGTATTACACAATAGATGGGTGATGTCAGGGTTACGGATAAGGTATACCCTCTACCCTTGGATATATGTCATACATCGATATGGTATGTCTGCGCGTATATGGACGTTCTCTGCACACGCTAAGGAAATCCATCACGGAGTCCACAGATGGGAAGATTCCTACTCTGATAGAACTGAGTCGTCACTGTATCGTGTAGGGTCCGATGTGTCTCCGAGTTCTACTTGGAAACCAACTGACCTACGGTATAAAAGGGACCCTCCGGGAGGACCTAAGGCATCGAATCTCATAGCCAAGACAACCACCACAGCCTACGAAGCCGGAGCCTATAGGAGCCAAGTCGCCGGGTGATCTAGTTGAACCAACTCGACTACGATCTCGTCGGTATCATCGAATTCCACTATTCCCTTTGTAATCTGTGATTTCCATCATATAATCCCATATCAACTGGATTAGGGCTATTACCTACCAAGGGGCATGAACCAGTATAATCCATGTTTTCTGTTTGCTTGATGTCGTACTACGTAGATCTTCGTACCAGCGTACCCCAATACCCTCTATATCCGGTCTACGGGTATCCCCGTCGACAGGTGAAATATTACTTAAAATCATAAAAATATACATACATATTTCATATGATTAATTCAGCATTTGGAAGTAAGATGTGAATCATCATTTAAAACAATGTCCAAATTAACTTGTGCAACATCTAGTAGAAAACATTGCACTAACTTTATACTTTAAGCTTACTGCAATCAAAGCAATCCAAGGTCTAAATCTTTTGTCGGCAAAACTTACTCTTTAAGTTTTGTGCAAACCTTATTCATGGTTTTTGATAATGAAACATAATGAGACGTTATTATTCCAGCTTTCAATGGAAGCTTATGTTAATTACATGGTAACTGCAAGGTGCATGCTAGCCGTAAAAATACACTCGTCGATTGTGACCTCATTGTGTGGATTCTTTCTTTTAGATTATTGCTTCCACTGCTACAAAGACCATTTTTCCATACGGCCAAAACCTATTTCTCCGTATGTGGTTGAGCCAGCCGTTTGCACCAAAAGGCCTGTGAAGATAGCATTTTTTTTCCATGCTGGTGGTGCACCCTCATGCATGCCGGTGCATATATCGACTGCATGCAAAAATAAAAGATCACCAAAATAAGTAAAATTTCCAAAAAAAAAATCCCAAACCCTAGCCCCGCTGGCACCAGCTGTCGTCGCGTCCGCAACCAGATCCGCTGCCGCCGCGCCCGCAACCAGATCCGCCACCACCGCACCTCTCATCATCGTCGTTACTGGATCCGCACGGGAGGCAGGTGGTGGAGTTGCCCGACGGTGGAGGATGTGCAGCCGCCCGCTCCCAGCCACCTCCTCGTCGACGGCGGTGCCGAGACGGCCGGCGCCACACCCGGCCACCTCCTTGTCGACGACGATGCCGAGACGGCCGCCGCTCGCTACCGCACCTCCACTGTCGCCCACGCCCGATCCACCGTGCCGCCGCCGGATCCTCGCACCTGGGGTGGAGCGGCAACAAGATCCGCGCAGGAAGGGCGCGGTGGAGCCACCACGCCACGCACTAGCCACTGCGCATCGCGCCAACCGCCACGCCTCTCGCTCGCCTGCTCCGCCTGCCTCCTTGTCGACGTTGGCGCTGCCTGAGGTCGCTGAGCCGGCAAAGCCCGCCACTCGCCCGGACAGTGGACTCGCCCGACGATGGAGGAGGTGGAGCTGCCGCGCCTCCCACCCGCCCTCTCCCCGCCACCGTGCCTCCCACCGTCGATCATGCTAGATCCACCGCGCCACCCCGGATCCACGCTCATGGCGCCGAGCGGCGGCCAGATCCGCATGGGAGGGAGGCGGTGGAGGAGGAGGTCGTCGAGCCGGCGAAGCCTGTCGCTGCCGCTCGCCGGCTGCCGACCGGCCGTCCGGCTAGAGGAAGAGAGGAGAGGGAGAGAGAGGAAGAGAGAGGGGTGAAAGTAATAAATTGAGGAGAGGAGTGAAAAAGTTGAAGTGCCTGAGAGGGAAAAGAGAAAAAAAATTGTGAAGGTGGGGGTATTTTTGTATGTAGACTATTAAGAGGTCCGGTCAGTTAAGATGACCGCACGCGAAAATAGGCTTATTTTTGCATGCGATCCCTTAAGAGATCCACCTGTGAAAATAGATTTTTGCATACGGGCCTCTTAAGAACTGCATGCGAAAATAGAGATTGATTTTTGCAGCCACTAGTTACTGTCCGTCTGCAATTAATATACAGGGGCTCTCGTTTAGAAAAATCGTGTATGTAGTAGGCTTCATCCACAATTAGTTCGCCAAGCATAACAGCCATGTCTAGGTATAGAGGTACCATATTCATATACTGCATGAAAAGCTCACATTGTACTTCCATTGCAAAAGCTTAAACCGGTACATATTTAGTAATTGATGAGTGAGTTCAGCAAGTCCCACTGACAAAATAAAATGAAGATACTTCTAAGAGAAAATCCATAAAATGCCATTGACAAGCACCATAATCCCAGAAATACCATCGACAAGCGTAACTTCCCCAAAATGTCATCGTACAAGCATTTTTCTCCCCGAAATGCCATCACAGTCAACTTACCGTTTAGTCCACACCGTTAGAAAAGAAATTTTTACCAAAATGACCAGATTACCCTCGCTCCATATTTTACTATCCAGAGGCGGTAAAAGAAAAGAAATTGGGAAAAAAAACAGAGAAACCTAAACCTAACCGATGGGCGACGACAGCGGCGATGCGGCGCCCCCAGGCAGTGGCATGGCGGCACTCCCAGGCGGCGGCGAGGCAGTGCTCCCGGGCGGTGGCGCGGGGCCCCCTGGCGGCGGCGCGCGGCCCTCAGGCGGCGATGCAGTGACCCCCGGCGACGGCGCGGGGCTCCCAGGTGGCGGTGCGGCGGCCCTGGACGGCGATGCGGCGGCTCCAGGTGGCAGCGCGTCGGCCCCAGGCGGCAACTCGTCGGCCCTAGGCAGCGGCGCGTCGGCAACAGGCTCTCAGGCGACGGGTGGCGAGGAAATAATTGATAGCAAAATTTCTGAAATGATGCCAAAATTTGTGAATTTAATTTTGAAATAATTTGATTGATAGCAAAATAATACACGCCTGTGAATTTAAATATGAATCAATTCAAAATAATGTTGTGTGAGCAAACAATATAAAATGATGTTGTTTGAGCAAAAAGGTCGCCCAGGGGTAAGATTGTCTTTTCATACAACTTAACGGGGAGGAGTTAACAGCAGTATGGTTGTGATGGTATTTCTGGAGAAAAACTTTTCTCTAATTGTAAAGTCAGCGGTATAGTACAACACTATGTTTAGTCAGAATATTGACAGTGGCGATCACCATGAAAATCCGCAAGGAATACCATGGACTAAGAGAAAGGTCCAAAGTAAAAAACTTGAAAAGTACAGATTTCTCATCTGGAGTAGAGATTTTTCATGGACATTGATGGGTCAAGAGCCCTTTTGAAACAGATGAATTTCAAGAGAAATAATCCAAATCCTGGTTAAAGAAAAAATCCATATTGTAAACAAATACAATTTTACGACTATACTTCGGGACAAACAACATACAAATAGTCGTATTGTACAGAAATTAACGCAAAGTTTGCAGTCAATTCATTTTTTGAAAGTACATATACATAAACCAAACTTCAAACACACGATACAATGATACAGAGAAGCAAAACAATTTCTTCCAGCCTGAAGGATAATAGTAGCGCAAGCAAATATAATGGACACCACTAGTAATGCTTCCAGAAAACAACACATTTTGCAGGTTCTGAGAATAACACACATAGAGATAATTAATATGATTCATCATACAGGTTACGATTTGAGTTTAGCTTCTTCATATGGTTCTCACTTCTAAAGCTCTGAGATCTTGACATAACGAAGGTGCTTCAGACCAGACAGTCCGTCAGGGAAATGCCACCTCTTGAACAGAGAACATTCCAACAAACGCAGGGATTTTGAGTTCTTCACAACCTTCGCCATTGCAGATACCACTTCCTTCTGGACATGGCCACAATCTTCAACGATGATCGTGCGCAGCTTCTTCAAACGGAGCAACTCCTTCACATCACCAACGGTGAAATTGTTAATACCTGCAATATTAATGTGCCGAACTGAACTATTCACGTGTCTAAAGTCTGCAGAATCAACTAGCCTCGCACATTCACCACGTGAGACACATTTTGCCAGATCATACATCATGTCATTCATAACATAGTATGCAGGTTCATCGTCTTCTCCGCCAAAGCGATCAAAGAACGATTTTGCAGTCAACCGAGCCAAGTATAACTCTCCCAAGTTCTCTTTCTTTTCCCCACGAAATTGAGCAGAGATCAATCCTGACGAAATCCATGTCTGCACCAACTCCTCTTTTCTGAACGGATGGTTTTTCCGAAATATGCTGCAATACCGAAAGCAAACTTGCAGCTCTGGCAGGAGGCTGTAGTAGCTTATTTTCAAAACCGCTATATCACGAGTTGTTGTTGCTCGAAAATTATCTATATCTTGAAGAAATTTACACCAGTACTCTGGAGTCAAATTGTACCTCAAATGCAAAGCAGCAACCTTTGTTCCCAAGGGAGACCAACTAAGATCCTTTGCGATTCGAGCCCCAATTGATTGTAGTTCTGCATAATCTGGTGCTCCCACTTCCAGACCACCAAATGCAAAATGGTTAAAAAGTAGTAAAATTTCATTTTTTTCAATTACAAACAACGACATAAGGTGCTCTTCACATCCTGTGATAAGCCCAGGTAGAGTTGCCACTGAATTCAATCTAGTTGTCAATAAAATTTTACTTCCGGTTTTGGAGGCACTGAAAACAGAAAATAGTTTCTCCCATTGCGATATATCTTGATCTTCCCAGACATTGTCTAAAACGAGCAAAGCTTTTGTGGACATTAACTTATCACGGAGAATATGTTCCATTCCCTCCAAATGAGCATAATTACATGGTGAAAATGTAACCTGCTCTACTATTTCACCTATAACTCTTTCTACATCAAAAATTGTAGATACACGCACCCATGCAATCTTATCGAAATGATTTCTGACCCTAGCATCAGTACATACGTGGTGTGCCAATGTAGTCTTCCCCATACCACCAGGACCGACTATGGATATAACGGGGACATGCATAGGACTGGTACTACTAACCTGAGTTTCAGCATTGCCATCCAAGGGCTTGATCAACCATTGGACTATCATATCCATCTCCTCGTGTCGACCAAACATTTTATTGAGCATTACTGGAGAGAAGCTTGTCTCGCAATCTTGGCGCAAAACATGTGTATAATTGGTTTGTTCCAATAGGCGTGCAGTAGATCTTCCTAAATCCTTGATAGCTTTCCTCAGCTTTTCTAGACTGCTGCCAGAGTGCGTCAAGAAGCTGGTAACTACTTGCTTCATCTTGGAAAAACAAGAGCCCAGCTCACTAACCTCTTGCTGATCATTGGCCTTCTCCCTGAGCTTGTAGTACTCATGCTCGTCGATTGCATCCTCGAGTTTCTCGATTGCATCCCTCAGGCGCCACATATCCAAATACCCAAAGCTTTCCACTTGATTCGCTGTGAGGGCATCGAACATTGGTTGGATCATCAACCAATCCTCATGTAACTTGTTCATCAAGGGCTTCAATTTGTCAGACTTGCGGTCCTTGTCCAGGTAGGCTGAGGCCTTGTTGATCAGGTTGACGATGAACATTGCTGACACCGACCTCCCTGCCAATGTGCATTCCATGGCATCCATAGGATATTTGTGTGTGGGAGAAACAGAAGGGTTAGCTTTGTATTTATAGGCAGTAACCTGGTTCTCAAAGTTTCTTATCTAGATTATTCATTATTGATCTATTTCTGTCTCTCTAAAAAGTTTTCTATCTAATTAAGTACATGAAATTCACTTATAATTCAACACCTTCTGAAAAGTTTGCTTTGGCGTCAAATGTGGGTAAGGAGAAGAATTTATTTCTAAAAATTTAAATTGCATCAAACTCAGGATCTAAATTTAGTAGCATCAAAAAGTAAAAGACGAGCATTAATTACTTATACCTCAACACTATATATTACAGTTCCTACAACCAATTACAAAACAATGTCTTACAAAACCAGAGATGATTGTCATCGTATCATGTCTTTAGGACGACTATGGAAGGGTGAATCATGCTGTAGAAGAATAAGAAAGGGAAAAATATTGCAACGGATGAGACTAATTGTATTGATTCTTATTGGTGTATATAGAAAACATGGTGACGGGTAGATCAAGCCAAATTTTTTTAAGATAAATAAAGATCACATGCATGATATTCACAATTGATTATGATCTATCTCTAGCAATAATATTCCAAATACTCTAACACATGCAATCATGTGCATGTTTATGTACACTTCTAGAGTACCCTGAACATATTGTATTTTTTCCAATGATAGACCTACCTAGGGCTTTAAAAATGGATTTCAAGTCAACTTCAGTTCATTTTACAGTGGGAGGGTCAACTGCTTAAATTACATATCTGCTGACTGGGTTTAACGGTTCTGGGAAATGGTTTTTGTTCAGCCCCCTACGTACATTTCAACTTTGCTGAAGAAGGTAAAGTTTTCGGACCAGTTGTATACATCACCCAGCATTTCATCATCTCCATCTCTCTCTTGTGCCACAAACATATTGTAGGACTAACATGGCATCTTCTGTACTAGTGTTTGCTGGAAAGTCAGTTGCATCCCCCACTATCTCCTTCTTTGCCAACAAGGCCTTCAACTACCTGCAGAATCAGTACCGTAAGGCTCAAGGGATTGAGGACATGAAGATCAGACTACAGAGGAACATCCCCAAGATCCAATCAGTCATTGATATCGTTGATACTGATTACATCAAGGAGAGTAGCGAAGACCTTGATACACGGCTGTGGCAGCTCAGGGATGCAGTCGAGGAGGCTGAGGATGCCATCGATGAGCTTGAGTACTACGATCTCAAAGAGAAGGAAAAAGATCAAAAGGTTAGTCATCAGGGCTCTTCTTTTACTAAGATGAAGCGCAAATGTTTACAGTCTATTAAGCATATCAGTGTTTTCGGTAAGACATCTGATTGTCCTCTCAAGAGATTAAAGAATGCCATGGAAGGTTTAGATGAGGCTGTTAAAGGCGTTGACAATTTTCTCGCACTTGTAGACCAAATCAAAAGAACGACTTTAGACAATTCACAACGAGTTGATGAGATGAACAGGTACTGAGAGACAGGAAGGAAGTTAACTGTTGACAGGGTGTCGAGAGAGAAAACGAGAAGGAACATCTAGTTGGATGGTTGACTAATACATCAAATAGAGATAAAGCAGTTGTCATGAGCAATAATCATGTACCCATTATGTCAATAATTGGTCATGGTGGCATTGGGAAAATAATTTTGGCTCAGCTTATCACCCAAGACTACCGAATCAAGGAACATTTTCAAACCTTGATCTGGGTTTCTGCATCTACAAACTTCTATGCAGCAACATTGATAAGTAAAATAATCCAATCTGTTACATTATCAAAACCTAGTAACCTACGATGCACTGCAAGAGCATTTGGAAAGGATACTTCAGACCATTAAATATCTTCTCATTTTAGATGATGTCTCCCTCCCGCCCCCGATTGAAGTCGGCATTTACCGCTCCTGTCCAGAGCAACCACCACCTGGTGCGCCATGTCAATTCGCCGCGGCGGAGTACTCCCTACGACGCTACGAAATTCACTTATAATTCAATACCTTCTGAAAGTTTGCTTTGGCCTCAAATGTGGGCAAGGAGTATAATTTATTTCTAAAAATTTAAATTGCGTCAAATTCAGGATCTTAATTTAATAGCATCAAAAAGCTTCAGCTGGTAAAAACACGAGAATTAATTACTTATACCTCAATGTTGTTAACACTATATATTACCATTCCTACAACCAATTACAAAACAATGTCTTACAAAAACAGAGATGATTGTCATTGTATCATGTCTTTAGGACGACTATGGCAGGGTGGATCATGCTGTAGAAGAATAAGAAAGGGAAAAAGATTATTGCAACGGATGAGACAGTGGATGGGGAACAATTGTATTGATTCCTATTGGTGTATATAGAGAACATGGTGACGGGTAGATCAAGCCAAATCTTTAAAGATATCACATGCATCATATTGAATCACAATTGATTATGATCTATCTCTAGCTATAATATGTTTATGTACACTTGTAGAGTACCCTGAACAGATTGTATTTTTTAAAAAAATAATACACCTACCTAGGACATTTAAAAGGTATTTAGCTGGTTTCACCCAAGTCAACTTCAGTCCATTTTACAGTGGGAAGGTCAACTGCTTAAATTTGTTCATGGACCACTTATCTGCTGATTGGGTTTAACAGTTCTGGGCAAATAGTTTTTGTTCACCCCTACTGAAGATCGTAAAGTTTTCGGACCAGTTATACATCACCCAGCATTTCATCATTTCCATCTCTCTTGTGCCACAAACATATCGTAGGACTAACATGGCATTTTCTGTACTAGTGTTTGCTGGAAAGACAGTAGCAACCCCCGCTATCTCCCTCCTTGTCAACAAGGTCCATAGCTATGGACAAAGTTTTCACACCTAGGTGCTATGACACCCATTTTTTTTCATGCAACTCAAATAGTTATAGAAAAAATTAAAAAAAAATAGTACCATAAATTAGGATGGTATGAGCCTATAGACAAACATGCAGTACTAAATTTGATCCACAACTAGAGAAAGAAAAATAATAATAGAATCAGACAGTGAATACCTGTATAGTGCAGATAAAAGTTGTTATTTTTGTTTCTTCATGTGTAGATAGAATTTAGATTTGCATGTTTTTATAGTGTCTTATATTATCATAATCTTTCTTTTAAAATTTTATAAATATTTTATATAACTATTTAAACCGCATGCGTACACCTAGGTGTACAAAATACTTTCCCCTTCAGCTACCTGCAGAATCAGTACCGCATGGCTCAAGGGATTGGGGACAGGAAGATCAGACTATAGAGGAACATCCCAATGAACAAATCAGTCATTCATATTGTTGATCCTGATTACATCAAGGAGAGTAGCGAAGACCTTGATACATGGATGTGACAGCTCAGGGACGCCGTCGAGGAGGCTGAGGATGCCATCGATGAGCTCGAGTATTACGAGCTCAAAGAGAAGGAGAAAGATCAAAAGGTTAGTCACCAGGGCTCTTCTTTCACTAAGATGAAGAGCAAATGTTTCCAGTCTGTTAAGCATATCAGTGTTTTCAGTAAGACATTTGATTGCCCTCTTAAGAGGTTAAAGGATGCCTGTGGAAGGTTTAGGTGAGGCTGCTAAAGGCGTTGACAATTTTCTCGCACTTGTAGATCAAATCACAAGAACCACATTCTTTTTTTGAAAACCAAGCCAGCACAGCAGGTGTTATATTAAGTAGGGGAGAAACTATTTACAAGATCACCAACGGTGAAGGAGAGAAAGAAAAGAAAAAGAAAAAGAAAAGAAAAAGAAAAAGAAGAGGAAAAAGAAGAGGGAGAAAACCGCTAATCAATCAAAAAGTCTTAGGCCGATAATCTCACAATGTTTGTTGCTCCACATATTCTCCATAGCTTGACTTCATCATGAATCTTGTATAGTAGCTGCAGCAGGGTTTTTTCTTGATTTCGAAATACTCGTCTGTTCTGCTCGCACCATATTTCCCATGCTACCAGCATGTGGATTGATTTTTTTGCTTTGGCTTTGTCTTTCCCACCTTGAGATGTACAAGAACCACTTTAGACAATTCACGAGTTGATGAGGTCAACATATACCGAGAGCAAGGAAGGACGTTAACTGTTGATAGGGTCTTTGGGAGAGAAAACGAGAAGGAACATCTAGTTGGATGGTTGACTAATACATCAAATAGAGATAATAAAGTTGTCATGAGCAATAATAATGTACCCATTATGTCAATAATTGGTCATGGCGGCATTGGGAAAACTATTTTGGCTCAGCTTATCCCCCAACAATCCAGAATCAAGAAACATTTTCAAACCGTGATTTGGGTTTCTGCATCTACAAACTTTTGCGCAGCAACATTGATAAATAAAATAATCCAATCTGTTACATTATCAAAACCTAATGTTGAGACCTACGATGCACTGCAAGAGCATTTGGCGGGGACACTTCAGACCATTAAATATCTTCTCATTTTATATGATGTCTGGGAAGATAAGGAAATATCTGTGTGGGAAAAGTTATTTGCATCACTGAGAACAGGAGTGCGTGGAAGGAAGATTTTTTTGACAACCCGAATGCAATCAGTGGCAGATTTAGCATCAGCTGCAATGGGATGTCAAAGAGAGAGCTTTTAATTGTGTGGTCTTGAAGAAAATGAAAATTTGGGACTTTTTAATATCATGCCTTCAGTTGTCTGGATCCCAAAGAATTTGAAGACATACGAGAAGCTGGAGAAAAAATAACAAAGAAATTAAGAGGGTGTCCCTTGGTAACAAAGGTTATTGCTGGTCATCTACGGGAGCATATGACAGTTCAATTCTGGGATAGATTTTTGCATGAACATCTGGGGTATTTTGATGGAAGTATGGAAAACATTATGAAAGTTCTTAAACTAAGTTACTTCCACTTGCCACCTGGCGCACAAGTTTGCTTCCAATATTGTAGCATATTCCCACAAAATCATGAATTCAAAAAAGGAGAATTGGTGCAGATGTGGATAGCTTCAGGATTGATACCGCAGACCACAGGCGAAGCCAAAAGGACACAAGATGTAGGAGAAGAGTACTTGATTCAGCTGAGTAGAAAGTCGTTCGTTGACCTCAAGTTGAGAAACTTTCATTTTGGAAGGAACGAAGGCCACGAATATTATGTGATGCACGACTTAATATATGATTTGGCAACATGGGTTTCTTCCAGTGAATGTGCAAGAATTGCTTATGTTAATGGCTCCGAAAGAGTAAAAAGAACACTATGTCACCTCTCTGTTGTTGGCATTAATAGCTTCCCAGTTGAGGCCATTAAAAGTTTCTGCCAGTTCAAATATCTGCGCACCATTATCTTTGAAGATTCCCATGACATCCAGGACGATGCTGTACGTGCAGTGGAGGAAGTTCTAGAAAGCTTAAAAGCCCTGCGTGTTGTGCAATGCAAAGTTCAGTAGATGCCAGTTGCTAACCTAAAGCACCTTCGTTATGTGGTAGTTTCATTTCACTGAATTCGTATAATAAATATGTAAGACCAAAAGCACGCCATCATGTTTCAATTTTTAACTTCTTTGTGCTCAATCATGAAATACCTTGTTGTTTGTTTCAGATATGATAATATTGTGAGAGGCACACGCTTTCAAAGTAATAGATTCAGCGCAATATTTGGGTATTTCAAGACCAAGTAGGAGGAATGGAGATTTTTAGTCCCTAACTGGCTAACTCTCTATCCTTTTTAATATTATTAATTTTCACCTATTAGAACACATCAGGTTTCTATAATTTTTGGGTTTTTTTTTTGAATTAAGATGAGAAATTGCCATCGATGGTTAATTACTCCATAACTCATCAGGATTCTACAATATATATAGTATCAGACAATAGTACAAATTCAGAGTTGTCAGGCAAGAGAGGGACTGACCGATCGAATGGCGCGTCATGTCACTCAGCGATGTGGTAAACACAGCAGAGGATCTTAACAATATTGAAGGAGCTAGGCAATCTGATAATACTATTTGGTCTTCAAGATTATCGGTTATTGCCAGAAAAAAAATAATAAAAAAAAACGGAGAAGCTGGGGTTTCAGTTTCTACCGATTCAGAGAGCCTCGAGAGTCGAGTGGCGAGCAGTCGGCCTGCGCCCGCCGCTCGCGCCGCCTGCCTGCTCGCGCCTCCAGTCCGCCGTCGGCGCCATCGGCCGCTGTTGTGTGGGCGATCTGGTGGTGGAGACGAAGAATCGAGACGGAGGTCGGGATGTGCTTTTCCTGTATTCGGCCTTTTTGGTTCACTCGGTCTATTCGGTTTCTCGTTTCCCATTCAAACCCCGCCAAGTCACAGCCATTCAACACTCAACAGAGACGGAGCAGTACGGCTCGGACGAAGGGTCTTCCTGGCCTTTGGCCTATTTGGGGTAGACTAAAATTATGAGAAACAACTGGTTGATGGTCAGCTTCTGAGAATCTGGATAAACTGGATTTTTTAGCTTCTGACTTCTAATTCATTTTCTGGATTCTACAACTACAACTTCTTAGAATCTAGACTAAAAGCTAGACCGTTTGGGGAAGCTTCTGATTCTGAGAGAAGCTGCAGCATCTAGAAGCTCCCCAAACAGGCCTTTTATCTATGTCTCAGAAAGTTGACCCTAGACTAGAGCCTGTTTGACACAACTCCTCCAACTTCGTCTCTCCAGCTCAACCAAACGATTTTAGCTCCATCTAAAAAGGGTTTAGCTCCATCTAAAAAGGGTGTGGAGCTAGCTAAAGTGCTCTCACAAAATAAATTATAGATGTAAAACTGGGTTTAGACAGTTCTACAATTCCACTCCAAACCCAATTTCTAAAGTTAAATTTAAGAGTTCAAGTCCTACCAAACGGATCCCTAGCTAGTACAGAATGTGACATATCCTATTGCAATAAATTTGTAGTAGAATAACATCAAAATCACATAACATCAACATTCAACCCTTTGTCCCTGCCGGAGGAAGAAGAAAGGGGGTGGAGGGAGCCATCGCCGCAGGATCTAGCAGACGGGAGGGTGTGGCTGCCGCCGTCACCGCCTTCACTGGAGGCTGCCGCGGCCTCCCCATCCCGCCACCTCCCACCGCTGCCGCCATCAGGCCACCCCTCTGGGCCGCTGCCGGGTAACTGCCTCCCCTCCCGTTGGATCTGGGGGAGGGGCCGCCACGCTGCATCGACCAATTTGCAACACTCTGATCCAATTTCTACGAGGTTAAGCCAGCCATTCTCCAAATCTCCAGCAAAAAAAATCTCCAAGATTAATCCGGCCATTTCCGTATCTCCGGCAAAGTCAAGAGCTAACCTCCATCATTTGGAGGCCCTTTGCTTCCTGCTAGTGTGTACAACGGCTGCACGTACCAAGCTCCATGGAGGCTCGCCGAGTCGGCGTCGTCGTTGCCGGCGACGTCGTTGCAGGTGTGATGAAGAAAAAACTGTAGGGACCTAATCGCTTTCATGTAATATTAGATCCTCTTAGCTATTTTAAAGGATCAGCTTGTAATACTGCTTATTTATGAGGACTCCTATGTAACTCTCAAGTTGTAACTTGTAAGACTTGTTTGGGCCTGTTTGGCATAGTTCCAACTCCTAAATTTAGCAACAGGAGTTAGGGTCTGGAGTGGAGTTGTAAAGCTGCCTAAATCCAGCTCTACAACTCTAGTTTATTTTGTGAGAGAGCTCCACTCAACTCCACTCTCAGTTTTGATAGATCTGAAACTGTTTGGCTGGACTCCAGCTCCAAGAGGGGTGGAGCTGAAGCTGGAGCTGTACCAAACAGACCCGTTATATCAATCCAAATCCTAGGCCCATGCCCTTGCCTTTTCAAAAAGAAAAAAATGGAGGGGTCCTTAAATGGAGAAAATATGCAGTGCAAAATCACATAGATATTGTGGAAAACATGGATCGAAAAATGTACATCTGAGATTCGTCCACATCATCATAAGTAAAAGTTTTACTTAGCTTTCACTATATATTTTCCACCTTAAATGTGGAAAAAAATTAAAAGTTGAGGTGATAAAATATGTAGTACTCCCTCCTCCATCCTAAAATATAACTTTAGAATTTTTCTTAACAATTCAGACCGCATGCAACAAACAAAAGAATGCTCTCGAGTCCTAATAGTTTGTTACCCTGGTATCGTACGTATAGTATAGAATGCTCGTGGGCATCTTGCTGCCAGATCACACCACGAGAGAAATAACAAATTTTCAGCTGTACAGATAAAACAATCTTCAAATAGCAGAAAATCTCATGTTTTGCGATAGGTAGGACTTCATGATATTTGGCTTGCACTCGAGTCTATTGAACCATTCATTGTCGCAGAAAACCCTAATATTTTTCTGGTCATGACCGGGTGGGTAGTGGAACGATATGTTCATCAGCTTGTCGCAGTTCTCAACAAGAAGCGCCAGCGACGACTTAAATTCACAAGGCAGCACACATATATCAGACAATTCTGGCAGATCACTGAGATCGAGATATGTAAGCCGAGGGAAGATCACATGATCTGGTGGATTCTCCGCAAGCTCCTTATGGTCGATCAACCGTTTAAACTGTGGGCAATCATGAATGCCGAGTTCCTCGAGGTACCCAAGCTGCAATACCCATGTGGCGTGCGTCAATTTTGCACATTTCTTGATGTCAACCCTTCGAAGGTTTCTCGCCGCGTTCAGCCATATTACTCTCTCCAGTACATTGAGATTTTCCAAGCAGAGATGTTCCAGGTTTTGGATCAGCTCCTTTCCATCAGACGTGGCCACAAGCTCCTGCAAGATGTCGGAACTAGAAATGGCTAGTTCTCCCAGATCATTGGAGAACGGTTGCAGTTCGGCGATCATGTATCTGCTGGTGGCCGGCTGGGGTTGATCATGTCCAGGCGAGATTGGATTGATGAAGCTTAAGCAGAGCGACCTTATTCGCACTTGCTTCTGCATCAACTGCTTCAGAAATGCCCTATTATCACGCGTCGCATCCAGGCAAATCCCAAGAATCTTCAACTTCTCCGATGCTCTAGCTTCGGCCAGTTCACCCAGAAAATTGTAAAGGCCACCAGCAGCAGATTTTGGACGGTAGGGATAATCGATGCTGCTGCAGAAAAGGTCCAGCACCTGCAGGTTTACGAGCTGCGAGATCAATCCTGTCGGTATCTCGCCAAGACTGCAAGACTGCCGCAGATGCAATTGCTTGAGTTTCGACAGTTTCCCGAGTTCAATTGGCAGCCTAGACATACTCCCTGCTTTGATGCAGAGGTATTCGAGCTTATGCAGCTCACAGATCTCCATTGGAAATGTATCTAAAGACACCAGTTCCAGAAAGCTGATGTTTGTCATCTGGCCGATGGACGAAACCTTCCACGGATCAAGGTAGGAGCGATTGCTTTCCATCGCAAGCATCTCAAGCTCAGGCCATGTATCCTTGGGAGGCCATTCTTCCCGAGTCCAATACCCGTTGTTCATTTTGCGTATGGTTGCATCCTGCACCCATGCTCGATTCAGCACGCTCCACTTCTCACCTCCAGGGCCCCTTACAATCCACAGCGCCATGTCGCGGATGATGTCGTGCATATCAACAGAATAGCTTCCAGCGCTCTCCAGGAGCGATGCTCCCTGCAGGGAATCGATGACAGACTCTCCTCCTTCAAAACCGTTGGCGGGATCCAAGAAACCAAGCCCCATACACCACCGGATGAGTCGCTTCTTCTCAATGTAAAATGGAGGGAACAGGGTGCACGCCAGAAAACAACCCCGTGCTTCGTCGTCATGTAGTCCATCGAAGCTGTACCTTAGGATGTTGAATATATCATCGTCTCCAACTAGGTTATTATGGACCTTTGACTTCTCCAACCTGTTGACTGCATCCACCCACAGCTTATAATTCTTCTTCGTGCACATGGATCGACCGATGACGCACAGCACTAATGGCAGACCACCGCACATTTCGGCTACCTGATTAATGTAGTAGTAATAGTAGTATCCATGTAAGTAAGTTAGCACAAAAACCAGTGGAATACATATGTAGTATGTGTGTGAGATGAGGATTAAATTACCAGACCTAGGAGAAAATTTAAATTCTAAAACCAGCTATAACCAGTCTTCAATTTTAAAATTTATAGGAAACTGCATGAATCTAGTTATGTCTTTTTTTTTGGGGGGGGTGTTATATGGAAGACGCATATGCGGAGATCACGGTTGTCACGACTACCACGCACTTCGATATTGTTGAAATAACGTGAAATCGAGCAGAGGAATGGGTGCGCCGTGCACGTACTACATGGGGGAAACGCGAGCGCATGGCCCATTGGCCCTGCGCAAGAATTGGAGAGAAGACAGAGGGAGAGGGAGAGGGAGAGAGAGAGAGAGAGAGGAAAAGAAAAAATGCAGAGCAGCACGCGGACAGCAACGGCTGCCTGCCTACCTCCCTGCCACCCCTTTTTCTCCTATGTGCACGTCCTTCATGCTCAGCCCAGGACAGGTATCTCTTCCTCTGTCTCTGTCTTCTTCTAGTGTGCTATATATATATATATATATATATATATATATATATATATATATGCTTCTTTGCACTCTGCTGGTGCTTTGGAGTTTGGTGAAGGGACCTCTGCTGATCTTCTCTGGTTTGCAAACAGTACCTATTCCCTCCTCTCCCATCCTGCTTCACTTCTCTGCTCTGCTTTGTAAGGCCTTGTTTGCTTAGGCCAGGGAAGGCAGGGATCAACCCCAGCCGGAAAGAATCCTGGTCCTGGCCCATGCATGCAAAAGTTTGCGTTCGGTTATCTAGTCGGGATTACAGTGCACCAATGTGGCATTCAGCCTCAACAACAAAAACCGAATATTCTTAGCCAAGGACGCAAACCGCGCAGCCTGCTCAAGACCGCAGACCAATTTGAGCCACTGGTTCCTCGTCAGTTTTGTAGGTGGGGCCCACACTCGAGCAACGCGTCGTTAGGGAAGGGAGATGGAGGAGAGAGACCTCGTTGCCGTCGTCGATCATCCCCGCGCTCCACACTGTCGTTGACCATCACCATGCTCCATGCCGCTGAGCTTGTCGGCCAGGGGAGGAGAGTTGTCGGGCGCTCGCCGGCTCGATGGGGAAGCTCGCTAGTCCACGCTGCCACTGGGAGCCCTTACTCCGCTCGACACTAGACCGCGCCGGCGCCGGGGAGCCCCTACTCTGCTCAACGCTGGACCGCGCCACCCTGACCTCATCGCGGAGAGGGCAGGGCAGTGGAGAGGCGAGGAAGACGAGGACGGATCCGTCATCAATCTACCGCTGAGCCGCCTTAAGTGCCACCTCGCCCCGTCCACCCCATTCTGAGCCGCCGCGTCCGGAGGAGGAGCAGAGGCATGGCGGCCGGAGGAGGGGGGGAGGCGCGGCGGAGGAGAAGAGAAGGGGAGAGGGAGCCGACGGAGAGGCAGAGGAGCTCAGCACAAGGTCGAGCCAACGCCAATTCGGAGCCGGCGCTGTTGCCGCATGGACCACCCCACCGGCCGCCGCTCCGCCCCGGCGCTCGCTTTCTCCAGCCTCGGATTTGCCGGTGGGGGAAGAAAAAGAGAGGAGACAGATGGGAGGGGAAGATGAAAAGGTAAAGAAGAAAGAAAGAGAGAGAGGGGAAGATGAAAAGTAAAAAGAGATGGTATTGGTGGGACCCACTACAAGAAACTTGCACTGTGGAACATGTGGCTTAACACGTTCCTCGTTCGTCTAGGTGGGCATGTGAGGAACAACAAATATGAGGGACACACTGTGAACGCCCTAAGCAGGCTACCCTCACCTGGAAAAATATCATCTTACCAACAGGAGTGCAAGGGGCATTTAATTATTTGCCACTTTTAAAATGTGACAATTAAGAATTTACCACCGCAACAGCAGTGGCGGGCGTCGGTGCACCAATATGCGGCGTGGCGGCCACGCTGCAGTGCACACGCCTCCCAGACTACTGCTTTTGTTCTGTGCACCGTGCTGAAAAATGTTTCTATCTGATGAAATGAGAATATGAGATAATGCATGCCAATGAGTTTCAGACATGACATGGGTGCTTCATGGAACAATCAGAGATTGTGGGCTTCATATCAGTGCAAAATTGTGCTCAACTACTGACTACAACCTGAACATTTTGTGCAGTTAAACATGATGGATCCATGCCCATATCTATTTCAGAATGTTTGTTCAGTGCCTTTATGTATACCTAACACTACCAAGTTGTTTTGTCTAAATGTATTTTAGGGTTTGGATTCATTGGCTTCTATCTTTGGTACTAGGTGATGGCCTGAAGAGTTGTGCCATTGTCTCATTATCTGATCGTCTAATGTCTTGCGTGGCATAAGTAGGTTTCAGATTTCAATTATGAGCATTTGTATTTGTAGGTGTTGGATCTAGTGCTCAGGCTATGTATCTACCATCTGTTTGAAATTGGGTTTCTCCTTTAACCTTGATACCAATACATTTCAGTGGAATGAGATTGTATTGTTTTACAGATTTTACTTGTCACCAATCTGTGAATTTGGGACCTTCATATTTGTAATACTCTCTTGGGAATTTGTTCTTGTTCGTTGAGTTCAACTTCAACCTAAGCTGTGAATTTAGAACCAGTGAATGAAATTATAGGACTACACATTTTTCAGACAGATTATAGGACTGTACTCTTTCAGAAGCCAATACGCTGAATCCCAGCCAAAACGAACACATAGTTTGAAGAGTGGGATTAGGGGCTGCAAACCACAAAGGGTTTCAAGAGTGGGATTAGGGGAAGCAATCCCTCCCTGCTTTGGTTCTCCTTAGGGAATGTGGCACATGGTCTCAAGAGTCAAGAGTTGGCAGCAACAAGTATAAAGTTGGTGACATTCCATAGGTTAAATGGGCGTCTGAAAATGGTGGTCGCCTTGCTTAGCTTTTGTCATCTTTAGAACTACGCACGCACATGCTTCGAATTCCTTACCTCACTAAAATCCTATTAAAAACGCACCTGTGTGTATATAATATTTGTGGATTGTTGAAGTCATGACTTGTAAATTATAAAAGTACAGAAAAAGCTTCATGAAATCAATGGAACCTAATAGGTGAATATTAATTTTCCATATTAAGCAAATTGTAACGGGGCACAAACTAGACTAAAAACAAGTAGAATAAGGAATATTTCATTACCTGCCTGGCAAGCTCTGGAATCCTAGTATCAGCATTGATGGTAGCACTCCCAACTTTATCCTCGAAGAGCTTGAACGCATCTTGTTGATCTAGGCACCCCATTCTGATGGTAACTCCTTGGCGTGCCATGCTGACACATACGGCCTCGCTTCGTGATGTCAATACAACCTTACGTTGATTCCCCCGTCCAAGGGGCAACGGGATGCCGACAGCCTCCAAATCAATGTAGTTCCACAGGTCATCCAGCAGCAGCAAGAATTTCTTGTTGCGAAGATGGTTGCACAGGACGGTAGCACGGTTGGTGACACTGAGCGAAGGAGGCAACACCAGGCTCGTGCCCTGTGCAATGCTGTCCTGAAGCTTGGCGATATCGCAGCACTTGCCAGCCTCAGCGAGAACAATATGGTCCAAGGTTTGTACTCGTGGATCGCGCGCGAGCTTGAGAAGCGTGGTTTTGCCGGCGCCGCCCATGCCCCATACTCCTAGCACGCCAGGAGCTCCGCCGCCGTCTTCCCGGACAAAATCTAGGACGCTGGTCAGGTGAGGTTTCATTGCCTGGATCCCAACTCCCCATGTGCCGGCCGCTGCCGTGTCGAGGATTGACTGGGCAAGCTGGCCGTTGTCGAATTCTGCCGCCGGTGGAGGTAGTAGAGGAATCGGAATCGGAATCGGATGGGGAGCAGCACCCGCCTCCTTCAAGTGGCCCTCTCCTTTGGCGATGAGATCCTTGACTTCTTCTAGCTCCAGATCTGCATCCCTGCCGATGGCGCAGAGGTGCCGGACCACGTTGATCCGGGGTAGGAGGCCCTGGACCCCCACGCTCTTCACAGATTCATGTCGGCGCTTTATCTCCTCCACCTTGTCCTTGCATCCAGCCGCCCGCTGCAGCCAACCCGAGAGCACTGCGGACGAGGGTTTGGGATCCAAAATCCCCAGCTCGCCCAACTGATCTTGCAGCTTGGAGAACTCATCGACGAGTTTCTGCACGCGCCTTTCCGCATCGAACGGGTACCCGTAGACCTGGGCGATTGGATCCCACAGCTTGGTGACCACAAGCACGATCAGCGAAACGATGATGCCGGGGACGATGGTCCAAGCGGACACCATGATCCTCTTTTCTCTGGTTTTGCTGGTGGTCGTCTGACTCTACCGTCTAGCGCTCAGAGTGCAATTAATGAAGCTTGATGGTATCGTCGTCATCATACTCATACGTACTACTCACACAGTACAGAGTATTATATTGTTTGCTTCCCTATTTCTGTATTCTTGCGTGTCCAAGACTTTATTATATTGCTCTCCTCTTGATAATAAAACCATAGTTGACAATCGCTATGGTTAAGAGTAAACTAATAAGCGGAGTACGTACGTGCACTTGTTCAAACAGGAAAAAAAATCCTACTAAAGTTTGAATTTTTTTTCTTAGTCAAACTTAACAAGTTTATAAAAAAATGTAGCAACATTTTCAATGTAAAACAAATACTATATTATTAAAATATATTAAAGTTTATAATTAATAAAACTAATTTGGTGTTGTGGATTTCTATAAACAAGGAAGGTAGCCCGCGCATGTGCGTAAAATTTTTTTTACAAATGTCCATGTGTGGATGGTTTTCTATCAAAAATATTCTTTCACTTTATCATAAATTAAAATTAAACTTATTCGATGTGCTTTGAACGCTGGTTACTTGCAACATATAAATTGAACTAAAATTACTTTAAACCGTGTTGCTTGTAATTCATGAGAAAATTTTATGTCGAAATAATAGATGTGTTCCCTATGAATGTCTAATTTTTTTTGTTAGATTCTGTTTGAAATTTGAAATATATTTATTTTATTAGTCTTGCTAAAATGTTTGAATATTTCTATTTAGAATGGTAAACCCAACAAAAACAAATTTTAAATTAGATAAATTTTATTCAATTTTCATTTATTTTTATCTCCATTTTTTTTGGATAAATACTTTGATCTCTGTAAGTCGGAATGAAAATATATGTGGGTTGATCCTACAACCTTCCATGGGGTAAAGGCATCAATTCTAAATTATCTCGCTGCAATTAAGTAAGAAAAATTAAAATAGATGTCGTAGTGTTTTCTTAGCAAATTACCACTAAACTGGAGTGTCATGTAATAATTGCAGGTTTCTAGATTGTTTTATGCTATATGTCACAAATTCACGATGTACTGTAGCAAGTTTTAACCCAAAAAAAGATATGGTCTTTTAATTCCTATCTATCTGTAATTGGCTTATATATTGCTGAGGCCACATCATGGTTGTTTCACTCTTAAGATTCCTTGGTGCAACCAACGTGCCCAATACAATCAGTATGTTGTTCAACTGGCCACGTGACTTCATAGATCATATATATAATTTAGAAGCTATGATCATTATATGATTATTATTTATCTCTGAAAGTGATCATTTATTGATAAAAGCATCAATATCAAAATGTATGGGTAAATAGCTCCTATATACAAGCTGAGAAAAAGTTGATTGAAAGTCGTTAGATGTCTAACAGGATATAAGTAATGGGTCTACCAGTTTTATAAAAAATTGAGCTGGGATGTTTTGATTTTTAGTGAGCAATTTTAGTATTTTTTTACTTAGGGTAAAATTTGCTGCGGGACATTAAAAACATGTAATTGGCCGGGGACACCGCAAGAATGCGTATCTGTTGTGGCAAAAAAAAACTGGTAATTAGCTACTGGAGGCCCGCGATATTATTTTATAATATCCAAAGGAAATGCAAAGAGAAACAATAATAAAAGTATGACTTTTCCCCTGCCTACCAAGTCTGGCTAGCAAAACACCTTCAACGCAGCAACCGCACCCGCCGCCGGTGAGGTGGCTCCCTAGAGAGGGGGGAGGGGGTCAAGGAGGGCCCGTGCACCTGGGCTTGTGGCTGCATGTCATTTCCGCACTTGTCGCTGATACAGTGTGAGGGCTATGCCGACGTCGATGCTCCACCACACACCACGCTTGAGGTGAGCACAACGTGGACCATCTCTTGATTCATGTCGAGCTGGGCGCCGCAAAGCGCAGGCTATTGTTGTCGATCTTGGAGTCGTGCCACGCCACGCTGCCATACCCTCCATCGCCCATGTCGTTACTACCATGGCGTCAGAGCGATATGCGAGCCGCACATGGCAGGAAGGGGCAAAATTATACTTTCGCGATTGTTTCTCTCCCCTTTTCCTTTGGATATAACAAAATAATGCCACGGGTATCTAGCAGCTAATTACCAGTTTTTTGTGGTGTCCCATAGCATATATACGTTCTTGCAGTGTCTCTTACCTAATTATACTTTTTTTTTGATGTCCTGCTGCAAATTTTAGCTTTATTGAGAAGAGGGTTCAATATGGATGTGGGTTCATAATGTAATTTGTTGTTAGTAGCTAAATATAGTCAATATGGGCATTAAGTTATTGTTTTCACTTAGAAAAATAATAGCTGGCTACACCTAATAGGTGGAGATTCGTTTGTGGTCTTTCCTTTGCCCATAAAATAATTTTAATTTTAATTATCATAGAGATATAAAAAGCTGAGAAAAGTAATGTCGCACACCGCATGGGAACGGGGATGGAGGTAGGGTTGAGATGTTTGTTTTTTTTAGAAAAACAATTGATTGATTTTACGATCTAAAATAATGTGTTGATGTTTAAGTAAAAAACCGATGGTTGGATGTTATTTTTTTCTTAGATTTATTAGGTTTTTTTTCTAAATTAAGTGAGACAAATAGTAGCTTAGCAAAATACCCATAGGGAAGGAGAGGAAGGGAAGATGGTTTGGGATGTTTTTTATTAAAAAAACTAGATACAATAACGATGTAAAATAATGTGTGAATCGATTTAAGTGTAAAACAATGGATGGATGTTTCTCTAATTTAAAAATGTCATACAACTATTTAGAAATATTTATAAGATGTTTAATGGACTTTAACACCTATTTTTGAGATTATTTTCTATAAAGTTAATTTTAATTTTAACTGTGATAGGCATAAAAAACAGAAAGGAAGAGGGAGCCTACAAATTGATCCCTCTGGCGTGGTGGACTGTACGGGGGACGTGGGTGGTCTTGGCTTTCTAAGATATCGTCTAACGATAATGGATCCACCGATTTAAATAAAAATCGACGGTTAGATTTATCTATTTTATTAGGATGCCACGTGACGACTTGAGAGTAGGGTACCATGTCACAGTTTGGGAGTGTTTGTAGGATGTTAATGGACTTTTATGTATAAGATAGATAGATAGTACTACGTACAAAACTATATTTTATATTTTTCTCCCGATTATACTATGTATTTTTTTTACTTTCTTACACAGACATTTTTTGTTCCAGCCAACGGAACTTAAGCTTTATTTTTTTTTCCGAATCATCATACTGTACTTATGTACTTATGATTTTATTTTGTTTTGCCGACAGTACGTATTTTCCCTTTTATATAGGGAAGGTATTATATATACACCTAATGATTCGTAATGGGTCTACCAATTTAAATGAAAATCAACTATAGATATCTATAGATATATAATTTAATGGTCTAAAATGACAGGTCCACCAATTAAATGAAAATCGACGATGAAATTAGATAGTGCCACGTGGCGGCATAGGAGTGTTTATAGAGTGCCACGTGGTGGCTTGAGAGCGGTTTTAGGAAGTATAATGGACTTTTAGTATATAATAGATAATAGATAGATAGATGCTTGACATATTAGAATTCCTCAAGTATAGAAAAATATAAATTATAAAATATATTATGAATAATTTAATGCATATGTTATATTAATGTTATTTTTAATGCTGTAGTAATTTGTTATTAAACCTATTTGGCAAAGAAAAAATGTATATGATAATTGATTAGGAATAATTGCCTAAGAATACCAATCAAATAGTAATAGGGCTTGTAGAAGCGTCGTGACTATATTTTTATCGTGCTTACAACATACCTGCGCATGTTCCTTTGTTTTTTTTTCAAGTGAACGGTATATCTCAATGTTTTTTTTTTGTCTTGATAGATTTTTTTCATCGTATACGTACGTTTGTTTTTTTTTTCAAACGAACAGTACCGACAGGTGCGTACTAATCCGATTCTCAGTATAGATAGGAAGTATAAACCAATGGATATAATCTGACGGTCTAAAATAAAATAATGGGTCCGCTAATTTAAGTGAAAATCAACGGTGAGATTGTAGAATGACACATGGCGGAGCGTTTATAGAAAGTTTAATGGACTTTTAGTATATAATAGAAGATAGATAATAGATAGATAGATAGATAGATTTGATCAAAATTGAAGAAGTTTAACTAGGATAAACGGAGGGTGTAACAAATTGCATTCAATATGATTTCGCATTGAGATAATGTTGTTCCGAGAGGGAATACAAGAGTCGAGGATATGAATCAAGTTTCTCAAGACAAGGACATGGTTGGCATCCTACTTGGAGATATTTACTACTCGGAGATATTTAACCATTTGCCACATTTAGATGTGGCAATTAACTTTTTGCCACTGGACCCACATGTCATTGAGATAGGGGTGGTAAATAGTTATTTGCCAAATCTAAAAATGGCAAATAGTGAAAATCCTACTTACCTGCCGTTGAATCCTAGTATAGCAACAAAACCTTACGCATGCACATCCTCCATTTTTTTTAAAAAAAATAAAACTTTCTCAAATGGATTCGTAGTAGGAAGTCGTTTTTCCTTTTAAGGACCGAGGGAGTAGATCGAGATGATATGTAGTGAGTTCAGATTTCATAACACTCTAGAAATTATTTGTTTTTTATAACCACCCAGAACACTATGAATAATTTGTTTTTTATTTCGCACACAAACCGCTGTTAATATTTATTTATAGTGTGATGAATGCTATATTGAAAGAATTTTTTTTTCTGAGCTTTCAATAGAATTGGTACCGTGGCAAAAAGCAAGCAGCTTGTCACTTTGGCCTGACTGATCATGCAATGAATTAATCTCAATCATCAATTCCTAATCAGATGGACACCACGTGCTTGCACCGTACGACATCAATTTCCAACCATTAATCCCCACTCATTCCCATTCTCCACTCAACTCGTGGCCTGCCTCCACCCCTTCTATAGTGACAGTGACTAGAAAATCGGTAGAACTTACTGCGTCAGGCTTGATTCCTAGGCAGATGCAACCGCGCATCCAGAGATGACAAACTTGCATGACATGGGACAAGTAAGAACTGACAAACAAATATGCAAGATTGCACGTATAGAGGCAAATTACTAGGGTATCTCATGGTCGTCAGCAGAGCAACATAAAGAGAGAAATAGAGAGTAAATAGGGAGGGAGCGTTGGTTATCCCACATACCAAAGGAAACTAAACAAAAGGGAAAACATGAAGATGTGTCACAATGTCCGCTGTGAAAAGTGAGGGTTTCTGTCGAGCAGGGTTTACAATTCCGAGATGCTTTTCCGTTTCGGGCTCTGGCAAAATGACGGTTTTCACAAAATTCGATGAAAGGCTGGTAGATTCCGAACAAATTTCATAAACCAAAATTTGAATACAAATTCGCTCGCAAAACTGGTCATGATGGTTTTCGCGAAATCTGGTGAAAAGCCGGTAGATTCCGAACAAATTCCATAAACCAAAATTTGAATACAAATTCCCTGAGTTTACCGATAAGCTCGCAAAAACTAGTCGGCTTTGTCGAAATCCCGAGCGAAATCATCGAAATTTCAACCGGTAACTAGAAAACTAAGTAAATTGAAATTGTTTTCCTTTTTTAATTCGTTATTCTTTTCTTTCGTACGGTAAATTTCAGTAAATACACGGAATACATCATTTTTTTCAAAAATTTATATCCCAATAGGTTTTATAAATATCGTACTATTTATAAGATTCTATTTGATTTTTTCCTTTTTTTATCAATTCAAATTTAAATTTGGATGAAACTCATCGAAATTTCAGACGGCTTCTACTTTCGAGCCTCATCGAAACCTTGAAATTTCACGTAATTTGACCGGTTTTCATCGGAATTGTGAGAAAGGCCCAGGGGTCTTCCGGCTAGGTCCACGAGGTGGTGGGCTAGACGACCTGGGTTCGAAGCCTCACCCCTTCTAATTATTTGATTTTAGGTCCTTTCCTAATATTCGCGTTTTTTTCGTTGGAATCGTGAACCCTGCTGTCGAGCACAGCTAACTCTACTCATGCATGATCCATGTCCAGATTACTTGTCCTAGGAGATGTCCCATCCATGTGTTAACAACCAAATTTGGTAGCATTTATATCAGGAAAGAGGATTTGATCAAAGCGAAGTTGGAGGTGGAGATCGAGTTTGGAAACAGAGCAGGAATCGGCTGGAGTCCGGATCGGCTACGGTTAGGATCGGCTGAGTCTGAGTCGAGCTAAATAAGCCGGTGTAGCTGATTCCGACAATATGACTTGTACGCGACATCGGGTTCAAGTTGATGTGCTTCAAGATGATTGCCACGCATGGATAGAATCCTGGGAAGGCAATTGTATCTATTAATTAAGATATTTTATGTAAATTCCTTATAGATAAGTGTGGGCAAAAGTCTGTCGCAAAGACTTGTGGTATCTTAGAGTTTGTTAGAGATAATGGTTGTGTCCGGTATGGGCGTATCTTGTAATCTTCGGGTATAAATAGACCCCGAGCCATATGTAATTTTTAACACACGTTAAATACAATCTCGGCGCATCGCCATCCTTTTTGCTTTAGTTTTGTTTCGACGAGTTCTTGCTTTCGGGTTGAGCTGCATCGGTTTCGATCTTCATCAAGAGGTAAAATTCATTATGACGGATTGCGTTCTTAGGATTAGTGCTTCCATCCTCATGACACTCTAATCTTGTTTATGTAATTCGTCGAGTTATCATATATCTTACATAATCTTTAGCAATATCGCCATCTAAACTACTATCAGCCAATATCTGTATGCAAAAGGTAGCTGATTAGGTTAGATCTTGACATTGATATAAATTATATAAGATATCTACCATTCTATGAAACTTCTAGCGGTTTGATTGTCTAGATATCGCTCTTCTTTTTATACTTAATGCTGCATCAGTTGAGTTTGATCTATTAAGTCATGCTTAGAATATCGATCTCTAGCCTGCCTTTTAGTTGCCGATTAGAATAGCATCGGAGTTTCAGCCGATCATATCTGATTTAGCCATATTTATTCTATATGTCTCATTGATATGCTAAATCTGCCCTTTATATCAAGATATTGCTGCATCTAAATATGCTAAGTCCTCGTTTGATATTTTATACTTGCTTTGATATCCTTATATAAAGTAGTATCGGAGTATTAGCCGATACACGCTAGATCTATCTGATCGGCTACGCTTTAAACATATATAGTCCCGTTATTGACATATATTTCGATCTAAGTGATTTATACTGTCTCGGCATGATGACCGATCTATCCCAATCACTTGATTTAAGTATATATCGATATAAGGAGTATATATCGTTAATATCTACAGCCGATCGAGTAGATTTAGTTCTTCTTATTCATGATTGCCGATCGATATACAGATGACATCGGCCCAAAGATAAATGATATGTCATCGGCGTCTGGCCGATCGGCTATCATTTATAGATTTAACCACGGTTTCCTTGTTTCTATTTCTTGTTGATTACAGGATCAAATCAACTGGCACGCTAATACATCCGAAGGCGAGCTTTGGATCTGCACTGGAGTTAAGCAGATCTCCCAGGCCACGTGTTTCCTGTCAACACGCTTTTGGCACGCCTGGAGGGACCTGATTAGAAGTCAGCCGTCAGTTCTTCCTCATGGCCGAGAAACAAGCACCACCACCATCAAGCCCAGGTTCCGTTAAAGGCAAAGTATCGAAGCCAGGATTGACTGACATCATTGATGACAATGTCATGCCAATCGATCCAGAGAAATTCACGCCTGAGCAGAGGCAGGAGTTTGAAGCAACGATGCAGCAAGTGCGGGATCAGTATTTGAGCTCATTCATGCAAACCCGCAAGGGAACGCTGGTTCAGAAGTATAAGATAAAAGTGGTTGCTGATAGTCCTGGAACCGGTTCTTCTAAAGATGGAGAGGTGAAGCAAGCTCCAGACGGCTCGGCTCAGCCGACCAACAAAGGTGCTACTGATGGTTCTATAGGAAATCAAGGCGACAACCCTCAAGGAGTGCACGGAGCTCCAGGTGATGTTGCTCAAGGGCTGCAAGGAGGAAATCTTAATCAAAATAATGAGCTAGCACAAGACTTTTTCAACAACTTTCAAGATCGGGTTGATTACGCGGTGCATCATGCTCTGATCAATCAGTCCGGGGTCTTAGTCAATACATTGTCAAACATGATGAAGACAATAGCCGATGGTTCGATAGCTGAGCATCAGGCTATAGGCCCGGTTTACTTGCAAGGAGGCGTCTTCCCGAATTATCGATCTTTGGTCACCGATGTTCAGCCAGCTATGCAGCGGCTCCCTCTATTGCACCCACAACTCAACCAACGGCGCCAGCATCAACTCCCTTACCTGCTACGTCAGCCATGGTGCCAGGTCAGCCGATGAACCCTCGGTTGTTAATGAGGGAGCATCCACAGCCTACTGGGCAGACCGCGAATCAGCCGACCCAAGATCAGGTTGCTGCCATGTTTTTGCCACCTCCACCTATTGTTGATCCAGTGCAGCAACAGCCGATTCAGCAGACCCCACCAATCCAGCCGGTTGTACAGCCGATCCAACAGACTCCGGTGCGACAGCAGATCGTTCAGCCGATTCCGCACCCGGGGTCGGCCAATGCATCGGCCGGGTTCGCAGCACCTGGGGGGCAACCTGCGCAGCAATTTGTAAACCAAATCGTCCCAGAGCATTTGGTTCACCATGCACAACCGGATGGCACTGTGGTACCTCAGATGGTTCCTGAGCACTTGGTACGCAACATTCAGTCGAATCTTCATAACTACCAAGGGGGTAACTTGAGCTATCAGTATCAGCCTCCTTCCCCGCAAGCCCAATATCAGCCAGGGGGATCGGCTCAGCAACAGTTTGCACCTCAGTTCGGTCAATTCGAGCCCGTGCAGCAACAACCGCAAGGAGCAGCTCAGCAACGACCATAGGCCGATGTGATTGCCGATGTAATGAGGGAACAATTCGGACTTAAACCAAAAGAAACTGGAAGTTTGTATCGGCAGCCTTACCCTGAGTGGTTTGAAAGAGTTCCTCTTCCCAATCGGTTTAAAGTTCTAGATTTCTCCAAGTTTTCAGGACAAGAGGGCGTGTCAACTTATGAGCACATCAGCCGATTCCTTGCTCAGTGTGGTGAAGCATCGGCTGTAGACGCCTTGAGAGTCAGGTTGTTCCGGTTATCTCTGTCCAGATCAGCTTTTACTTGGTTTTCCTCTTTGCCATATGGGTCGGTCAATAGTTGGGCCGATTTGGAGAAGCAATTCCACAGCTATTTCTACAGCGGGGTCCATGAGATGAAGTTGTCCGACTTGACAGCGATCAAGCAGCGGCATGATGAACCCGTGCACGAGTATATCCAGAGGTTCAAAAAGATGAGGAACAAGTGCTTTAGCTTGAGTTTGACTGATGCTCAGTTAGCAGATTTGGCCTTCCAGGGTATGATTCCTCCAATCAGAGAGAAATTCTCATCCGAAGACTTCGATAGCTTATCGCATCTAATACAAAAGGTAACCTTGCATGAGCATAGGTCGACAGAAGTCAGGAAAAGCTCTAAGAAAGTTAATCACGTTTGTCCATATATGTATGGGTCGGATGACGAAGAGGATGATTCTGAGATAGCTGCAGCCGAATGGGTGAGGAGCAAAAAGGTTATACCATGCCAATGGGTGAAAAGTCCTGGAAAAGAGGAGAAGTATGATTTTGATATCACCAAAGCTGACAAGATTTTCGATTTTCTACTCTGAGAAAAGCAGATTCAACTTCCTGCTGGTCATACGATCCCATCGGCTGAGGAATTAAGCAAGAGGAGATATTGCAAATGGCATAATTCTGGGTCTCATTCTACCAATGATTGCAAGGTCTTTAGATAGCAAATTCAAATGGCCATTGAAGGGGGAAAGATTAAGTTTGATGATTCCAAGAAGCCGATGAAGGTCGATGGGAACCCTTTACCTGTTAACATGGTGCATACAGCTTGTCAAGCAGCCGATAGGGCCCGTGCAAAGGGTTTCCAAGTAAATTCGGCTAAGATTATCAATAAGTATACGAGGAAGTATGATAAGCAGCAGGAGAGGCGTTTTGAAGAGTACGACGATGGTTTTGATCCTCATTGGGGTTGCGAGTTCTTCAGATTCTGCTGGAATGAAGGGATGAGGTTGCCATCCATTGAAAACTGTCCTGGGTGTGGTGATGTCATCAAGAGCTCAAGCCGACCACATAATAGGGATGATCGGCTGAGACGGACAAGACTCCCTGTTCATCAAAGATTGGGTCTGATGAATCAAGATCGTGGCCAAGAGGACAAGGTGATTAGGAAGAATCAATGGTGTCCTTCTAGTATTTTCTCAAAGAATCAGAAAAGGAGGGTCCAGAGATTGAGGAGCAGGGAACGTTTTCAGGAGGTTGAAGAGGAAATCAATCATCGGCTGAGGAAACCAAAACCAAGACAGGAGTGGCGTGTCAAGAGTCAGGTTCCCACAGCCGATGATGCTGTAGCCGATGAGGTGAAGAGGTTGGCAAAAGGAAAGAGTGTTATTACGGCACCAATCAACATGGTCTTTACATTGCCAGCTGAGTTCGGGATCGACCAGACCGATGTCTATGAAGTGGAGGAGTCGGCTAAGTTGGTCCTGTCACCAGAACAAGCAGTATTCGAGAAACCCGAGGGGACAGAGAATCGGCATCTTAAACCATTATATATAAACGGTTACGTCAATGGGAAGCCGATGTCTAAAATGATGGTTGATGGTGGGGCCGCGGTGAATTTGATGCCCTATGCTACGTTCAGGAAGCTGGGTAGGAACGTCGAGGATCTCATCAAGACAAATATGGTGCTCAAAGACTTTGGTGGTAATCCATCGGAGACCAAAGGTGTTCTAAATGTGGAGCTGACAGTCGGCAGCAAGACTATTCCTACCACGTTTTTTTGTCATCGATGGGAAGGGTTCGTATAGCTTGTTGCTTGGAAGGGATTGGATTCATGCCAATTGTTGCATCCCTTCGACTATGCATCAATGCTTGATTCAATGGCAAGGCGATAAGATAGAGATCGTGCCAGCCGATAGGTCAGTTAATATTGCCAATGCCGATTTAGCCCTTTGGGAGATGGATGGCCTTGATTGTTTATCTGGAAAAGTCTGGGATGGAGATTTTCTAAAAGTGTCCGATTCTGATATACAGCCAATCGAAGATGGAGAACCCAAGCTATTACTTTGAGGGCGTTGTGGAGGGTTCGAATGTCTACGCTAAGGATACGGTAGATGATCTCGATGACAAGCAAGGTCAAGGTTTTATGTCGGCCGATAATTTGGAAGAAATAGACATAGGTCCAGGTGATCAGCCAAGGCCGACATTCATTAGCAAAAATGTCTCCAGAGTTTAGAACCAAGTTGATAGAGCTCCTAAAAGAGTTTAGAGATTGCTTCGCTTGGGAGTATTATGAGATGCCCGGACTCAGCCGATCGATCGTCGAACATCGGCTACCTATCAAGCCAGGGGTTAGACCACGTCAGCAACCTCCGAGGAGATGTAAACCCGATATGCTCGAACCTGTTAAGGCTGAGATTAAACGATTGTATGATGCTGGTTTTATTCGTCCCTGCCGATATGCTGAATGGGTCTCTAGCATAGTTCCAGTTATTAAAAAGAATGGCAAGGTCAGGGTGTGCATTGATTTTCGAGATTTGAATAAAGCTACACCAAAGGACGAATATCCAATGCCAGTAGCCGATCAGCTGGTTGATGCCGCGTCAGGGAACAAGATTTTGAGTTTTATGGATGGGAACGCAGGATATAATCAGATCTTTATGGCTGAGGAAGATATCCATAAGACGGCTTTTAGATGTCCTGGTGCAATCGGCTTATTTGAATGGGTTGTCATGACTTTCGGCTTAAAGAGTGTTGGAGCAACATATCAAAGGGCCATGAACTATATATATCATGATTTAATTGGCTGGTTGGTTGAAGTTTATATTGACGATGTGGTTGTTAAGTCTAAAGAAGTGGACGACCACATAGCCGATTTAAGGAAAGTTTTCGAGAGAACCAGGAAGTATGGCTTGAAGATGAATCCGACAAAATGTGCTTTTGGTGTGTCGGCTGGCAAGTTTTTGGGATTTCTTGTTCATGAAAGGGGGATTGAGGTAACCCAAAGGAGCGTTAATGCGATCAAGAAAATTCAGCCCCCAGAAAATAAGACGGAGCTACAAGAGATGATCGGCAAGATAAATTTTGTTAGAAGGTTTATTTCTAATTTGTCTGGAAGGTTGGAACCTTTTACACCCTTATTGAGGTTAAAAGCCGATCAACAATTCACTTGGGGGGCAGAGCAGCAAAAGGCTTTGGACAATATCAAGGAGTATCTCAGCTCTCCTCCTGTTTTGATTCCTCCACAGAAAGGAATACCGTTTAGGTTATATTTATCGGCTAGCAAGAAGTCAATCGGCTCGGTTCTGATTCAAGAATTGGAAGGGAAGGAGCGAGTTGTGTTTTATCTCAGTCGACGGCTCTTGGATGCTGAGACTCGGTATTCTCCTGTGGAGAAGTTATGCTTGTGCCTGTATTTTTCGTGTACGAGGTTGAGGCATTATCTATTATCTAACGAGTGCACTGTTATATGCAAAGCCGATGTGGTCAGGTACATGCTGTCGGCTCCAATATTAAAGGGACGAGTTGGAAAGTGGATATTTTCTTTGACTGAGTTTGATCTTCGGTATGAATCACCGAAGGCGATTAAGGGACAAGCTATAGCCGATTTTATTGTGGAACATCGCGATGATTCAATCGGCTCGGTTGAAATAGTGCCATGGACTTTATTCTTTGATGGATCGGTATGCACTCATGGCTGCAATGAGGGATTGAACCCAAGACCTCCTTGTTCCCATGGAAAGACTCATCCACCTCATCAATGACCATATTAAACCGTATGCAACTAATAATCAGGCTGAATATGAAGCAGTGCTAAAGGGGTTGCAATTACTCAAGGAAGTTGAAGCCGATACCATTGAAATCATGGGAGATTCCTTGTTAGTAATCAGCCAATTGGCAGGGGAATATGAATGCAAGAACGATACGTTGATGGCTTATAATGAGAAGTGCCTGGAACTAAGGAAAGGGTTTCGGCTGGTCACCTTGAAGCATGTATCTCGAGAACAAAATCTTGAAGCTAATGATTTGGCCCAAGGGGCATCGGGGTATAAGCCGATGGTCAAGGATGTTAAAGTTGAGATTGCAACAATATCAGCCGATGATTGGAGGTATGATGTACATCAGTATTTGAGTAATCCATCTCAATCGGCTTCTAGGAAATTAAGATATAAGGCATTAAAGTATACACTGTTGGATGATGAGCTTTATTATCGAACGATTGATGGGGTATTGCTTAAGTGCTCGAGTGCCGATCAGGCTAAGGTTGCAATCGGCGAAGTTCATGAAGGGATCTGTGGTACTCATCAATCGGCTCACAAGATGAAGTGGTTGCTTCGGCGTACAGGGTACTTTTGGCCGACGATACTGGAAGATTGTTTCAGATATTATAAGGGGTGTCAAGATTGTCAGAAGTTTGGATCAATTCAGCGAGCACCGGCGTCGGCTATGAGTCCTATTATTAAACCGTGGCCGTTCAGAGGTTGGGGAATTGATATGATCGGCATGATAAACCCACCATCAAGTAAATGACATAAATTTATATTGGTGGCGACTGATTATTTCACCAAGTGGGTAGAGGCAATTCCTTTGAAGAAAGTTGATTCGGGGGATGCTATTCAATTTGTTCAAGAACATATAATCTATCGATTTGGTCTTCCTCAAACTATCACTACGGATCAAGGTTCAATCTTCGTGTTCGATGAGTTTGTTCAGTTTGCCAATAGCGTGGGAATCAAGTTGTTGAATTCTTCACCTTATTATGCACAAGCTAACTGGCAAGCCGAGA